TGAATTCACACGCGCCAACATACACGCCCTGGCGGCGACCCCGGCAGAGCCATTCGGATTAAAGCCCACACGAGCCGCCGTGATGGACAGTCTGGCAACGGCACGGCACCAGTGCTCTCTGGAGGAGCCAGCCAAGGCCAAGGTCTGTCAGCATAAGCAACAGGAAAACAATAACAGGAATATATCACTGACTGTAGTGTTATAATATCGCCGTCGCGGACAGCAATAATAAGCGATTATATGAATTATGAAGGATAGCGCCAAAAATACAACCAGGATTATAAACGGTGACGGTAATAGTGATTAAGAGGACTAAGACAACAACCACTAAGATCATAAGTAACGGCCAAGATGATGATAGAGATGATTATGATATGAATATTGATGACAATCATATAGTGACAATGATAATGATAATGTAAAAACTGATTATCTGTCTGGTCGTCATTAACTGAGTAAAATAACGATAATAATAATAATTACAATAATAATAATAATGATGATGATAATAATAATAACAATAACCCGAGATAAGATAATAGCAAAACATCATAAATGTGTTCACAATAAAGTTGAAGATATAAAATGACATGCATTTTCACAACGCTGGCTTCCATTAATAAACACTGCTTGCTTATATTGCGTTTAAATTCCCAGCACCAGACACTGCATGACTGCCATGCATACCAAGCTGGCTGCAAACTGTTATGTCCTTGGATATTGAGGAGCAATAAAAAATAATTCTGCTTAACAAAACCTGAACTTGAAACTTACCTCCAGCTAAATGTTAATAAAAGTGGTGAGCAGCCGAAAATGCAGAGGGAAAACTTTAAGCACAGTATCCCTCACGACTTAACCTGGCGGGAAGTAAGTCTGTGCTTCTTCGTCACTCTCGGGGTCAAGACAGGGTCGTCAAGGTCATTTTGCTGACCTCTTGGAGCGTGTCTGATTCAGATTTTCTGCACTTATTTCTTGCTATTTTCTTGTTGTTTTGGTTCTGTTATTTTGATATTATCCAATCTCTCTGAATTACTGGATCTTATTCTTTTTACGCCATAGTTTGACACGAAAGTTATTTTGGGATTCCTGTGTTAATCAACATAGTGCAAAACAAGATAATTTACAAAACAATAGGGGTAGTAAAAACGGTAAATATCTACAGTTCTAAATATATCAGACGCTTAAACAAAAAATCGGTAGTAAGAAAAAAGACTGGCAGGAATAAATAACGCCCTTCATCGGCCTCATGACCGCACAAGCGACTTGAGTCTCGCTAACATGACAACAACACTCAGTCACTTGTCCCGGGAATGTCCTCATAAACGATAGCACTCTCTGTCTGTTACTCGACCTTGTACAAGTGCAGAGGAGAAGGCGGGGATGCGGACGTTTGTCATTTACTTGTTGGTTTCCTCGTTCTTTCTCTGGCTCTTTCGTTTTACGAAGATTGAGAACAGCAAGCAATTCTATCGCGTTTCTTTACAACGACTTTCCTTCTTCCACCTCCCTCTGCTGCATGCAACAAAGCGTGTGCGTGTCTGTGGCTACCGCCTGCATCACCCCTAAGAACTCTCAAGCATTTTGTCTGCCGCCATAATTCACTAGACCGACCGTTCCTCTCCCCTCTCCTGCCTGCATGGACCTAGCCACCTGTGTGCCTCCCCCCCTCTGCGCCTCGCCCTCCTATGTGCGGACACGAGACCCGTGTCATACTCACTTCGTACGGCTTTCCCGACCCTGCTCCCCTTACCAAACTCTTTCCTTTTGTTTTAATCATCGTGATTTCACACACTGCTCTCTTCTTATAATAGGTAATCAGTTTCCGAGTCCGTTTACACATTTAATTATGGATACGTGTTTGTATCTAATACCTATACACACAATACAGGGCAACTCCTCGCGGTGGTACAGTAGGGCGGAACGGCGATCCCCCGCGCCGGGAATGGGAAGTTTTCCCGAACGCGGCGAGGAAAGCGACCCGAGATCCACCAAACCCTATATACATATAGTATTTTTTAAGTTCAATGTTACACTATCAATTTCCCGTCGTTTTTCTTGTGCGTTCCATTACTTCGTTGCAACTCCTTCCTTTTAGTCTTCCTCTTCATTATTTCCCTTTTCCATCCCTTTCCATCTTCTTCAACTGCTTTTATCTCGAACAACAGCTGCAATGCAAACATTTGCCACATAGTCTTCTCGTCTCGCTAGGCCTGCCACTCTTCCTTTCTCTCCTCTCCTTTTCTTACCTCAGAAAAAGGGTAGCAAAAGGAGAGCCAACCGTTCCCACCCAACCTGGCGTGGGCGAGCAGCCAGGGATAATATTTACCTTAAGTGGCACCGATCTTTGGGAAACCGTGCCGGGTGGGCAAGGCACGGCACTTGGCGGAGGAAACAGAACGGGGCTTTTGTCTCGGGTCGGGCGGTGAGCCGTAAATATCGCTCTGTTTATTTACGAAAAAAATCTACACCGGTCCTGAAATGTCAGTCAATTATCTTCTCTTATCCGACGCTACAGCACCGCACACCTGATCAAACACCTGCAGTTGCCCCTTGCTCTCGCCCGCGCTTCGGTCATTCATCGGCCCAGAAGGCTGAGGGCTCTTGCCCTCTCTTTCTCTCTATTTCCTCCCTCCCTCCCCCTCTCTATTTCTTCCCTCTCGTTCTCTCTCCTCCCCCCTCTCTCTCTCTCTCTTTCTCTCCTCTCTCTCTTTCTCTCTCGCTCTCTCCTCTCTCTCTCCCTCCCTCCCTCTCTCTCTTTCTCTCTCTATCCTCTCTCTTTCTCTCTCGCTCTTTCCTCTCTCTCTCCATCCCCCTCCCTCTCTCTCTTTATCCTCTCTCTTTCTCTTTCTTTCTCTCTCTCTATCCTCTCTCTTTCTATTCGCTCTCTTTCTCTCCTCTCTATCTTTCTTTATCCCCTCTCTCTTTCTTTATCCTCTCTCTTTCTCTCCTCTCTGTCTTTCTTTATCCTCTCTCTCTCTCTCTCTCTCTCTCTCTCTTTTCTCTCCTCTCTCTTTCTTATCCTCTCTCTTTCTCTCTCTCTCTTTTCTCTCCTCCTGTCTTTCTGTATCCCCCCCCCTCTCTCTCTATCCTCTCCTTTTTCTCTGTATGTCTGTCTATCTGTCTCTCTATCCTCTCTCCTCTCTCTCTTTTTGTATCTATGTATCTCACCTTATAGCTCCTCTATCCCTCTTTCTTTCTCTCATCTCTCTCTACTTCTTTTTCTTCATGTGTGTTTCTCTCCCATCTTTTTTCTTCCAATTAATTTTTTTAATGCGCCCCCATTATCTCCTTCATTCTCGAGAGATTGAATGAATGAATAAGTGAGTGGAAGAGAGAAAGAGAGAGAAGGGGTAGGGAATTATCGCTAAGTCGAATTAGAAAAAATAACCCATCTGGACAGAAGGGAGTACGGCAGTGCAGCTCCATCCGGCCGTACCTACAGCCTCCCGCCACTTGGTTATCCTACACCAAAGCCGCAGGATCATCACACCATCTAAATCTGCGCGCCGCAGCCCTCCTCCTGAGCCGTCCTCGGCCTTCGTGGGGCGCGGCCGCCATCGTTGCTCTCCCCTTTCTGCGCTCAACTCCGTTCCGAGCAATGGAAGCAGAATCATGTTACAATAAGTAAACATAATGATCAAAATGATACTACTAAGTAATGGGAGGTAGTGGAGATAATTAGGGTGGTCATCAAAACCAAAAACGATACTAATATCAATAAAAATAATAACATCCATGATGTTAACGAAATAGAATCTAACGAAAGATAAAAATACAGGAACAAATGCGTGACCATAGTTATGATGACAAGGTTGATAAGGGAAATAACAATAGTGATGGTTATAATAACAGCGGCATCAACAACAATAACAATGATAATAATAATAACATTTCTGATAAGGAAATAAAATAATATCGATGATACTATCTACAATAATGATGATGATCACAATGACAGCAACGATAACATCAATGATAATAACAACGAAAATAGCATCAATAATAAAGACAATAATGATAATGCAAACAGCACAAACAGCGATAATAACAGTAGTCATAACAACTGAAACAGGCCACCGATCAAACCTCTCTCGCACTAATCCCGCTCTCCCTTGGATCTCTTCGTCACCAGCCTGATGGAGCCCACCTTGTCCCCAACGCTTCCAAGCTCCACTTCCGCCAGCACCTGGAGAAGAGCAACACCTGGGCTCCCAACACAAACACCTGCCCGACTCCACACAAAGCTCAGCACACTTCCTCAAGGCTGTGTCACTTCTCGCGTGTTAAGAACCTCACCTCGCCACTCGCTCCAAAGTTAACAAAAGACCCAGACTTGGGGTTCGGGATAACTGTCTAACGGTATATGGTATTCCTCGATCACTGCACTTACTTCTGACCGGGACGCAGTATTATCACGTGAGTCAGAGCCCATTTGGACATTTAACTGAAGCGGTGCATCGGCATCTAAGGAGTTCCCGAGCACAGACGTGGCCTTCGCCCATCCTCGACATGGTACACATGCAAATCGCTTCGTTAGGATGCAGCAACTACCTATATGCATCGCCACTAACGCAGTGCCTCTAACGCTTCCCTTAGGACTTTCTTGCGCAGAGGCATTTCTGCAATATCCATTTTCACACATCACTCGTACAACATAATGCCATCACCTCTTCCCGTCGACACGGAAATGCAAGATATCCACTAGGAGAGTTGGCTTGGGAGGGTCACAGTGTGGCCGAGAGCGCGAGCGGCGCGTCTCTCCCGTCTGAGCGCAAAACAACAACTGATTGAGGCTCGTGAGGAACTCGCTGCCCCGCAGACTTGTCACACAGGTAAGCTCAGTTGCCGATTCATTGGAGGAGTTTTGCGGCAAGAGCGTTTGCCCTCCGGGACCCTGAGCTTAGGAAGTGTCGCACGTAAGCACTTGAGAACTTCCTGTTTTTGCGAGTTTATTTACCCTTTTTTCAAGACTTTTGATTGATTAACTCCTTTAAACATTT